CTACCAATCACATTTCCACCAAATGACTACTCGTCACATTTTCACAAGTAACATACACAATAAATTCCTACCTTATAGGTAAGAGCAGCACTCTGTGCCTTCAATGTAGAAGTCTCTGCCATAGTTGTGTTGTACTTAGCTATCTGACTGCTGTAAGCCTTAGCTGTGGCTTCATCTAGACGAGTTTCAGCATAGACTATAGCACTATTGGCCGAGATGTTTGCACTCACTGCATTAGAGTATGCCTGATCCACTTTCTCCTGAACTTCGGTGACAGGATATTCACTTTGAATGTTGTCAATTTCAGTCAGTAAAACAGTATTCTGAATGTTCTCGTTTAATAATATATTATTATTGATCAGTATGTCAGCAGCTTCTCGTTCAGACTCAGCTACTTGTATAATGCTGAGAAGGTTATCGACTTCATTAGTCAGAGTCTGCACTCGGGTACCCGCTCCCTGGACAGAGTTGTATAATTCTTGTATATGGAACCAGGAAGTGTTCGCACTGCTGAAGTAAGCTTCTTGTGTAGCTAAAGGAATTGCAAGATCATTCTGAATCTGAGTAGGAGTCTTGAAAACTCCCGGAGCGACTTCAACATTTCCGTAAAATGTTGAGATCTGAGCAAGACCTAGAGTGACATTTAGAGCTTTCACTTGAATGTTATCCAGGATTTCAGTGAAATTTCCTACTTCAAACTGGATCTGGAATAAAAGAGAAAAAAATTAAAATAAGCTATGGAAGCGATCTGTAAATGTAAATTAGGAGGGGGACCCTGAATGGAACAGTTATTCGATTTTGTATAAAATGAAAATTTGAAGGCAGTGCGCAAAATGGAATGGCTATTTGAGCTTTGTATAAAATTGAGAGGGAGAACACAGAATGGAACAACTATTAGAGCTCTTTATGAATGGAATTGAGGGTATCCATAAAATATAATATTACAGTAGTCTAATCTGGACGTCAATCAGATCAATGAGAATCAACATGAATGGAATTGGGAAGAACACAGAATTGAACAGTTATTTGAGTTCTTTATGGAAAATGGAAATAGGAAGAGAGAATACAGGATGGAATAGATCACCAACAAATTGTGTTCTTTTTGAGTCTTAGTGAAAACATGCCTCATCACAATTTGTTATCATCAATAATTTAGAAATTAATAGCTATTTTAGGATCAAATTTTCAAAAGGTTTGAAAATTAAATTTAAAAATACCACATGTATGTGATGATGAATTAGACTATACAAGCTTGTAAAACATTTTGGGATTTCAGTTATTATTTTCAACAAATGAATTCTATTTGTCATAGTTGTTGATAAATAGTTATCAACACTAATAATTTTTAACTCTAAGAAATATTTATACAAAATTTATTTTGGAGAAAGAGCTTGTAGCAATAGTCATACATAGTTTTATTTATAATAATAATAAAATTGTATTAAGCAATGTTCACTGCGTCACACACCGCTATACAAAACATGAATACAAATCACATTAAGAGAAAAATTAACAGTATTATAAAAAATAAAATATAAAGTTTCCAAAACTTTAAAAGTAACATTACCATGAAAATCGGAATTAAATGAAGAATTGTCTTTTATACAAACGAGTTTTCAAACTTTTCTTAAAAATATTGATATTGATTGGCCGACGAATAGAGAGTCGAAGTTCATTCCACAAAAGAGAGTATATTTGCTAAAAGAACGACAACCTATGGGTTTTTTTTGGTACATTTTGAATCTTGTCTTTTCAATAACAAAAGATCAGTGTTACATGACCTGAGGCCACTATGACCAGTTTATAACGGTCAACCAAGTCTCATAAATAAATTGCAGCAGACTTATTTAAAATGTTATATATAGTCAACAGTACTTTAAAATTTATTCTCTTGCGAATGCATAACCAATGCAAATCATAAATTATGGATGTAATATGTTTTTTTTTTACAATTTGACGAGTCTTGCTGCTGCATTTTGAACAGATTGGAGTTTGTCTAGCTGAAATTGAGGGCATCCATAAAATATAATATTACAGTAGTCTAATCTTGAAATCACAAATGCATGGACTAGCTTTATCGTAGCCGCTTTATCCAATAGAGTCTGAATTTTTTAATGCGATAAAGAGCAAAGTAAGCTGACTTACAAATCTGATTAATATGGTGCCCCAAATCACCAATGCACTCTAAGATTACAGACTGAGCTAGAAAGATTTATATCAAACTCACAGATTCTCAATGAGTTCAACATCTCAATGTTATTCTCAAAGTGTGATGAAAATTGTATAACTTTTGCCAGGGTTGAGAATCAACATGTTTGATTTCAGCCATGCACGAATATCTTCAATACACTTCTCGATGGTTCTTATGGTTCTTATGGTTCGACTGATTGTCTTTTGACATCAACTTTTCATAAATGACATTTATTGAAAATTACAAATCTAATTGCTTCCATTTTTAATGTGTATGTATGATTATTAATTATTTAAGTTTAGGGAGTATTTTTTTCATTATTGGTGAAAAATGTTATTCATGACTTTTTCTTGAAAACAACCAGCACCATTCACTTTGACACTTGAATTTTTTTCATTTCATGATGATATCATCAATTCTCTTTTTTTTTTTTTAGTGATTTTGTCACTTTTGGGTAAAAAATGCTTTATACTTTATAATTTCTTTTTTAAATTGGCACTCAATTTCTTTACTACAATAATATATATGTAGTTCCTTGGGTGACTTCATTTCTCTAATAATAGTGAATATTTTTATACACTTTGGTGAAAATTGTATGATTGACTTTTAAAACTGTTTTTTTTTTTATACTTGACATGTGGATACTTTCTGTGACCTTGCCTTACAGGTCACTTGTATTTTTCATAAATAATATTTTTTTTTTGTGTGTGTATACAGTGCAAATAAACAACTAGCATTACCTGCTCAAAACCTTTGTTTAATTCAGACAACTTTCTGACCTCATCGGCAGCATCAGCGAGAACTTGTTCGGCATAGGAGAGATTACCCTGTATGTCAACTATAATCTGGTCTACAAGACTCACAGGCATGTTATCATAGTTCTCTAACAAATCCAAAGTTATCGCGTACTGTTCATTTAACTGGTCGCCGACTTCTTGGATAGATTCCGCCCAGTTGTAGAAGCACTCTGGACATGGGTCACAATCAGGCCATGGACCTAAGAAATACAGTAATAAATAAATTACATGTAAACTGTACATAAGCCATAGCTAATATCGCTATATTATGGATTGCTGATTTTTAAAATTCCGTAAAACCATAAAAATTGCATGGCTATTTTCTCTCTGAAATCTTCTGGCACATTGCTACTTAATATGAAATCTGATACTATCCCAATTTCAAGATTTTTATTTTAATTTTTGAAGTGAATACAAATTACTAAAATACATATTCTCAATGAATTTTTGATAAACATCAGTGAGAAAAAGCTAGAACACTCAAAATCATCACAATTGCCAATCATTATCACTAAAACGCACCATGTGACATACTCTGACACTAAAACGCACCATGTGACATACTCTGACACTAAAACGCACCATGTGACATACTCTGACACTAAAACGCACCATGTGACATACTCTGACACTAAAACGCACCATGTGACATACTCTGACACTAAAACGCACCATGTGACATACTCTGACACTAAAACGCACCATGTGACATACTCTGACACTAAAACGCACCATGTGACATACTCTGACACTAAAACGCACCATGTGACATACTCTGACACTAAGATGGTACATCCTAATGCTTACTTCAAT